AAAAAAAATGTAACTGATTTCTAGCCTTTGAAAAGCATAATACATCTCGTGGGGAGGGGAGGGAACTGATGGAAGTAAATCAATATCAAATCAATCGATCACAGAATAGGGATATTGATCAAAATTGATTGGATGGATTTCCAATGTAAAAATTTTCACTCTCAATTTCTTCAGAAAAAATCTTTTCAAATCCATTTAGTCAACGTTTTTAAAAACCTGGAGCAAAAGCGAGACGCAATAATTCTCCTTGATAAATTCTTCAATCAAAATGTGTTGCATTGTGTCCCTATCATAGCTCCCCAATTCCTTAGAATTCCATGAGCACATTATCTTCTACCCGTGAATTTAGTGAACAGATGTGCTTAGATGATTGCTGCCAAAAAATCACATCATTTTGATGACATTGCTGGCCATTTGTCGTTTTTGAATGTTTCCACAGTGATTCTATTACATCGTCATCGAAGCGAATCGAAGAAATCATGATAGCTGTACGAAGAGCCAGAAAAGAAGTCATTGGACCATCCATAGCTGATTTGTCCCCCCTCCCCCCTTTCCTGGATACGCTACATCCCACTTTTCGGTTCAGAACGCAATTTATCTACGCAACAACTTACCTGTGCTCATGTCATACAACTTTCCAAACCAGTCTGGTCAGTCTAACCCAATGTGGGAGCGAAAAGCGATCCGAGAGACAGCCCACTTCTCTGTGAGTCCATAAGTGCTCCATATCATTACCTACAAGTAGTCGTAGAAAGTCATAAAAGCACTTTCGCCAAGAGCAAAAGCAACTACAAGTGCGCCAAAAGAAGAACCATGGAGTCACACGTCCATCCTATCCTTTTTCCCCTGACCCACTCTAATTTTCCTTCTTGGGGACCGATCTTGTATTAAAAACAATATTAACAACACTTCTATTAATGTAAGAAAACAATTTTACTATTACAATAATCACATTAACACCACCCCCAGACGTCATAGACCCCCATTGCCAACGATTTCTTGCTGATGACCCCGGATCAATAGGGCATTTCCTGAAGCTCGCCTGTGCTGCAGCCCACTTCCTCCTGGTGTCCACGCTGATTGCGCAATACGACAAATCACCGTCGTCGGTGCCTTTTCGACATGGGCGAGTTTAATTACGAACAATTAATTGCCACTAATTACCCCTAACCACAGTACGAACACACAGGAAACACCCGTCCCATCTATTACCCTTGACACATTCCGGCAAAAAAAATTCCCGTTTCAAAGACAGTTTGCGAGGTAACTCGTCCATTCGACATACGTGATAACTCGTCCAAACCCGGATAGCAATCAATATTTATTGTTCAGCCTCTGCACTAATTAAAATGACTATGTCGAACAAAGTATTACTTATAAAGTAATTACACTGATCACCGAAAATACATTTATGTACTGTACAAGAAAGCAGCATTTTTTGTCAAAGACGAGCGAGCGTGACATGGAAACACAACCGTATCAAAGATCGATATATCGATTGAAGAATCAATCAATAATCGGATAAGCGTCCCAAATGAACTGTTGTGTTTTCTGTGACCCGCTTGATACAAGCATTTATCTATGCTATATTTCTACGCAGCAAACAAAAGCAAAACGTTAGCCAGTAAAAGAGATGAAATCAATAAATCAATAAAAGCTTGATGAGCATGTATGGATCACTAACTGTACATTGGCAACGTTTTTCATCACAAAAAATTTAAAAGAGCATTTTTTAAAAAGAATATCAATATTTCAAGGCAACTCGTGATGAGGGTGGGAGTTAATGCGGCGCGACTGCGGCCAGCGACCGACTGGGCGACAAAAATCGATTTTGTCGCTGCAGTCAAGTGTGTCCACTGCCTCGCCTGCACATGTATAACAATTGTGCCTACTCGATGCACATATCTAGTACCGGTTTTCAATAGACCAAAGGCCTGAGTAAGTGCATAGGTGAAATTCAAATGGAAAACACATAGAATGCACATAGAAATGACTAAAATGTTAGACAAGTAAAGTACTTAGGTAACGTATGAGAAATGTGAAAGATACTGCTCTAATAGTGCTACGGCATCTGGTCGTCCCATTACCCGCAACGTTTGTAACAGGTCATGAGCGGCTCGTAATGATCCACATTCCCTAGCTTCCCATAGATCGAGCAGTAACGTAGTAGGGGAACAACCAGGGCGAGTGGCGAAGTACTGAAACGATTGATGGCTAGAAGGTTTTCCTACGCGGAAAAGCTCTCACAAAAATGCAGAACATACCTGGATATACCGGTCGGTATGGAGCTTCTTGGCCAGACCTCGCCAATCTCGATCGGGATCGGTAGGAGGGTCGAGCAGTTGGGATAACTCGTCCTTCACTTCGACGGGGAGATTGAAATCCGTCGTAACGACACGATTTTCATCAGCGGGTGGTTTATCATACTAAAAACGTAATCATAACAGTAACAACCATCTTGTTCCAGGTAAAAGAGACGAGGTTTTGAGCAGCTTTGAGGGTCAGCCCTCTCGTATGGGGCAACAATCCCCTGAATTTCTCATAGTAACCATCAAGAACTTACGATGTTGCCATTCTCGAATCGGACTTGTAACACGTGCCGTTCAGCATTGTTTGTTTTTTGATAGACAACAATCCGAGCCATGAATTCCTCCATCGGCCTCTTCATATCACTACAGACAGTTATCGAACAGTGTAGACCATTTTGGCTGCACCATTGGTGATGGGTGTCGGGAATTTCCTAGAACGAATCGAGCATGAATTGGTAGAACGCTGATTTCCATGGAGAAGGCAACTTATAGATCGATAAAATCAATATCGTGAGCGGCAACGGCTGTTCGGAAAGGCATATAAGTTGAAAAAATCAAAAAGCTTCGGGCCTCTGTCGAAGCAGTTAAACACAGAATCCTAGAAAGGGGATCCCGGTGAGGGAGTGAGGTATCTACTCCACTTTTTGAAAGTGCTTGTTGGACTGCAAGGAATAAAAAGTCCGATTCACCTGATCAATTTAGGATGCACACATAACTCAGTTCACTGTAATTCTAACTTGGGCGACAGAAACAGGGATGGGGCTGATTTAAGTACATAGTACCGCTCCCATACCCACTGTCTGAGTCGAGGTAGGTTCTCAAAGTATCAACCCCTTTTCTCCTACAAGGTGGATTAGTCAAACGCCACTGAACTAACCATTGACTGGCCTACCGAAGTCATTGGATAGGTCAAAGAGGATCCTGAATGGAATTCGAATGCGTGGCGTGGCGAAGGGACTGGTCACCGCCAAAATCTTTGCATTGTCACTTTGTATTCAAAAAAAAGCTCTCTTTATAGCATCTTTAATCGTAAACTAGGATCAGGCCCACGAGTCATGACATCCTTATGAGGTTTGATCTGGCATGAGATTGATAGTAGGGACCGGTGGAATCCCGCTCTCCCCCTCAATTTTCCGGATCTTTTCCGTCCGTAGCAGTAAGGAAATTCGCTCCCGACATGGTAACAAATGAAAAGCCCCACGCAATATTTCAGGAAACGAAATGGAAAGGGTTTTTTTTTTGAAATTTCGTGAGTTATTCATTATGATTGCTCCCTCGCCCTTGTCAGTTCCCCAGAGAAAACCAGTTGGAGCAAGTCTATGAAGACACTATGGTTTGGACTGCTGGACTAATTGACTTTGACTCTATAATTCGAATGATTCACTTAATGCCCAGCCCTACTGGCCACCGCCTGCCAGTTGACTGCCATCGGCGATCCTAATCGGATTTTAGAATTTGGCAGAACGTATATGATTCGAGTTTGATGCCATTTCGTGATGAGTTCCGAAGAGTGTAATGAGGTAAATGTGAACGCCCAAATGGGGAAATCAGTTCAATAGGAGGAATACGGTAGTCAAATGAAAGAAAACTCAAAGAATAGACTAGTGCGACTACTATAGTCAAGGAAGCTTCGTGGAAAGGATTGAGAGTTTCATTCTCCCTCTCTCACCCCAATCCTACCGAACCCGGATTGAACGCTAGAGCTCTTGACAGTTCGATTATCAGCCAATTCTCCAACTTTGAAAAACCAACAGACTCCACTAGCGCCAAGTCATTATTAACCTGGTTATATCAGGGGCTCTTCTTTAAGCCCCACTTCTGCCCCATGATCATTAGAGGGTCTTTGGATGTGAAAAAGACCGGAGGGTATGTGAAAAACTTTGACTATAGAAAATCCTTGGTACAAAAGAGTAAGGGGGGAGGAGAGAGCAAAGATACAGAACTGGTTACCTTGGTAGTTGAAGTCCGATTTTTTGATATCATTATGATGGAATATCTTACCACTAGAGCTGATCCACGGGTGGAGAATCCTTCAGANACGTCTTCGACACAGAAACAAAGATCTCCTTTCTCGTTCAACAGGAAATGTTCCGATTCCGCAAGGAGCCTGGAAATTTTAAGAAATAACATCACTTTAATTACCCTTAATTTGGCAGAATACTTAAATTTAATACTCAGTTAAATGCTGTGGACTACTAGTGAGCGCTCCGAGTACGGAGTTATCGAGCCAGTCAAGTCGAAGGCTTACCGTCCATGCTGTTCCTGTTTGGCAACGCTTTCCATGGCTGCTCCAGTCTCTGGTACACAATAGACCCTCATTTCGAAGCTGGACGTTCGTGGTCGCTCAGATGGTCCGTAAGCGGCCAAGTGAACTCGTTTACATACGGTGGCTGAAGCCCGTCGTGGTCGTCCGGCTAGCATCACTCTGAAGAGGAACAATGGCTATATTGGGATCATGAGTCGGAAAAGGTTGGCCTAGTGCCAGTACGCTACGTCCCGTTCTGAATCCTTTGTCCCCACGTGGCCACGTAAGCATAAGTAAGTCAGCACACGAGAGCTTACCTGGCAAAGTTCTCTAGCATCACATGACACCAGCCCATTCCACCATCAGCTCGGCCAGGCTTCTCCATATGAACATACATTGTCGTGTTCAAATTCTCCTCACCCACAGTCAACACCCGTTGCCAGCCAAATCCTGAATATAAGCCTAGTTTTTGATGAGATTCCGAAGAAAGAACAAGGATAATTACCCTCGTCCGCGTACAGGCTGAAGGACCAGTTGTCACGTGGGAACACTGAAGCGCAATGTCGAATCGAAAGAATCAACGGCTTCAGTAGTAGTCGAGCTGGACTGGCCGGTTCACCCTCACATTCGCCAAGTACTACAACCGATGACAGGGCTGATTCGCCCGCTGAAAATCGATAATTGATTATAGACGGTAGATTTGGTAAGGGGTCAAACACACGTTGAAGTTTCGGTCGGTCAGTGATTTGATCGGAAACCGCTAAATAGATCATCCTATCTGAGTCCAGAGCGTTTTCCGGGATTAACAACGACGCACCACATTTACGAAGCTGAAATTGTCGATTATTGACCGATATCGATTAAGAGGATTAGTCGTTAAAGCACCTGTAATCGTGCACCGCTTTGATCGACCTGTGCGGCTAAGACCGCTTGTGAAGATTCGAGACAGCCAACGGCTTTCTCATCAAGATAGTCATAGAGGGTGGCGTAGTTTTCGTCGTCCGAGTAGTTGGAACTCGTCCGGATGAGTGTTCGTTTGCCGCCGCCCGAGGACGAGTTTGACGAGCATTCCGTGATCAGGGCTGCACGTGAACCTGCGACATAGTGTTTTAGTGAAGAAAGGGCTAATTCATAGCCATCTTTAGGAAACGGTAGGAGAAAAAAGAGTTCATCTCCTTAGCTCCCTCTTTAGACCCTGAGGTAAGCTGGTAGTACCACCTAAGGCATGTCTCACTGTAGTTTTACAGTACCTTACCGTAAGATGGGTTTTTTAGTCGAATGTATGAAAATTACTGTACCCGCATTCCGATTTGCAGAATAGCCGCTGTAAGCACTTTTTCCAGATCGTAACGTCATTGAAGGATGTAAAGGTGAAGGAGAACAGGTGCTTCCAAGCGAAAAGAACTGCGAACCGATCGGTGGCGGCTGAAAGGACCAAGTTTTAACGGCAGTAATGAACCAAGCAGTCGGGGCAAAACGAAAGATCTGTTGTGAGCCATCGACATTGGTCTTTCAGAGCTTTACCAACCTTTATACAATCGTCAGTCAGCAAGGCTTTTTGTTGTTGTTCGAGGAGGACGCGTCGAACATGAGCTGAAATAACTGAATGTGGAGTCGACACTGACAAAAGCAATTTCTCAAAAAATTTTATCCCTTGAAAAACTGGGAGTCACCTACCACTAATACAACTAATACTTTTAATTCGTAACTACCTCAATTACTTGGTTCCTCCGAAAGTTTGTAGAAATTCCGGAAATGTGATATTTGGCTCCTAAATAAACTTACTGGAATACCATACTGGAAGGCCCCATTCTCAGGTAGGCCTCGCTTTAAAAAGGTATCTTCATCTACTTGGAAACCGAATTTAGGGTGAAAGTCCGTCCCCTCAATGGTACTACTCCGACGGAAAAACCCATGACCCCCCAGCAGCGACGATGAGGTGTCTCAGCTCGCCCCTATCCTTCACTGTCGGTCCCTCGACGTCAAATTAAATCCAGGACGACGTCTACCGAGGGAATTCGTCGCCGAAGCCGTCATTTGGATTATGCCGATTTCGGAACTTATAGTGGCTTTCGAAATTTGCATATGCGCCATTACTGCAGAGAATTCACCAGAAACAACAGCCCTATGATTTGAGCCACAGAAAATTCTGCACAATTTGTAATTTGCTCAGTTTTCGTAGGTGAGCTTCACAAGAATAGTAGGGACTGCCACTTTTATGCTTCGGTATGCTCCATTTCCGTCAAATTTTCCGTCAGCTATTAAGGCAAGCAACAAAAAGCTCCAACTGCAATCCCGTAGGAATGTCTATGTGAAATGAGAAGCAACGAAATAGGCCTGTACCTAGGTGGGAAAAAGAGGAAAAGGCTCCATTGGGATATAGCAAATCTATGAAAGAAATCAAGTAAACTTTGAAGTCGCTACGTAATCGCAACTCATGGCTTGGATAGCGTCAAATACTGTCTTGTACAATTCAAAAGCGCTCTTTACCTTCAAACGTGAGACCACACCCTCTTCACTTACCTCCGTTTTCTGCATAGTAGATATTCTTCACATTGCCCTTCTTGCTGCGATTTCGCTTGCAAAGAAGAGCTGTACACAGAGCCATTATGATGGCCAGCAGAACCAGAACACAAGCCAGACCAGCGTAGACCGCTGCATCGTTAGCCAATCGAGGTTGTGGTACGGATTGTGGAATGCAGTAACTGTAATTGTACTTCTAGAATCTTCTGGATTTACTTGTGCTACTCTAGTGGAACAATAAGCTCAGAAGTAACTTACTCATCACTACACGGAACCGTCTCCAGTTCACGTCCTACACATGGCCGACCGCCATTGATTGGAGGTGGCGATGTGCAGGTCCTGGTACGAAATCGGTGACAGGTTGGTGAACACGGTGACCAGTCTGACCATAAAGACCATCGGCCATCCAGACGGCAAGTGAGATTACAAGAGCGGAATTCCTGGAAAATGTCTTCCTAGACAAGTTGTGAGGGCACTAGCTGGAGCGACGGTTACCTCTTCCTCGCCAGAGCAATAGGCTCCACCATTAAGTGGTGCTGGATTGTTACAGGTTCGTATTCGCCGTAGTCGTGGGATCACTTCGGAGCCGGCGTTGTTCTCAAGGGCTCGTCGAAGTGCTACACAATCTGCTGAACAGGCACCCGTCCATGATGACCAGGCCGACCAACCGCCATTCACTGAAAAGTCGATTTATCGATTGCTTTTATTGATTGATTACGGTATTCTGGTTATATGAGCAACTAAGAGAGCCGCTTCCATATTTTCAGTGTGTATTTCTCATTTACTCGGAATGTGATACAATCAATACGATCGATGTGCCATGTGTTTTCGTTATTGCTGATTGACCATGACGTCATTTTGGGTAAACAAACTGTTTTGAGATGCTGAGGACACAGGTCAAGTGACGATTGACGAGAGGATTAGCTAATGAGACCACCGGAGCCTCTAGTGTTTATACTTGGTCCAATTAGAAAACTCGAACAGCTGCTCCAAAAACAGTAACACTCAATGTAGTTGTATAGAACTATAACTCAACCCAAGAATGGAAGCCTTGGATAGCCTAGATCGATCGGATTCGATCCCCTGTCAATATATGTGGTAGGCAGCCGCTTGGCACTACTCCACCTCATCCTTGGCGGTTCACTTCAGTTTGCTTGGAGTCAACCCTCACAATCTACCTTTCCCGATATGCTTCAATATCAATCAACCTAAGTAGGGATCCTTAAGGTTTTTCAAGAAGCTTGAAACCTTGAAAACGGAGCTACGACAGCTTTCCATGAAAAAGCTCGTGTTGGTGGGAAACACGACCCATATGAGGCTTTTCATTGAAAACCCATATGGGTCGTGTTCGTATGTCGATTCCGACCATACGTTACGACTTCCGACACGAAACCCACTCGAACACTGATGCTTCTGAAAGATTTTAGGTTCTCTCATCGTGAGTAAGCCGGCAATGCAGCAAGAAATGATAGATATTCCAAATGGAAACTCGTCCTGGGACGAGCTGTTAATCCCATAAGTGGTCAGTTTGAGATGTAAAGATACCAATTTAAAGTGCCGTGGGCGCCAGCGATATGTATCTTGGTGATGAATAATCGTGGAGTTGGAGATCAGATGAAAGCGGAACACGAAAAAGTCGAACAACCACTGAAACTAAAGCTGGTTCAGAAACTTTCTTCTCCCAGATGGAAATCTTGGGTGGGAGAAGGGTTCTACTCCCGGTCATCCAAATCGGGGCGCGCACTAAGTAAAAAATTTAGGATATGAGTGTTCCCTAGATCATTGATCATTGTTCTAGTTTACCAGAGGTGTCCGTACGAAAGTAACATGAATGCCTTCTGAGTTTACCGTCTTCCATAGAACCAGAACAAACGTTTTTTTCCTCTTCCGGAGGAACCGGATATACGGAATCATATAGCTGCAATGGATGGAGTTTGGCACTCAATCCGCTCCCAGCCTTGGCGTTCGCTGTTAAGATATCCGGTCTCTGGGGACGTTTCAAGGGAGCCATCAGAACTGGACAATCTGTCAGTTGAGGAATGCTTCCCTGACCGGCCAGATGATTAGCCCCTATACCTTTTGAAAGCTGAAAAATATTTCAGAATCGTTCCTTTCATTATTCTACATCCCTTGGCGAGAACAGTGGAATTCCTCGTCAGGATTTCTTCTCGATTCCCGAACAGAAAGAACTCCCTCGCCCTCACAATGATCGACCCCAATAGGTATGAGCTGCCCTGCTACAACGATAACGCTTCTGTGAGGACCCTCCTTCAGCCATGCCAGGCCTTTTGGTACCAAAGTCACCTCACTGGGAGTTTGCATCACTGTGATGGAGCTAATCGTTGTTTCCCATTCTTCATCATAGCCCAGTATAGGAATGCCGGTCCAGATGGTTCCGTCGGACCTCGTAACTAGCCGCGATTGCCACCCATGTCGAGTTCTGGCGCCTTTTGTTTCAGAACATCGCTTTGACGGCAAAGTAGTAAACAAACCTCGGGTCGCCAGTACATAATGAGTTTTTGTCGGCACCAAAAGGCGTTCGGATGCCGCCATCGGCCGACAGTGGTGGATTGAGTAACGGAACGACGTGTGTAAGTCATACGCATGACGTAAGCGTAACAGACATTAGACAGTATGGCAAAAGCCGAGATCGCGCGCCGAAGCCATTACTAATAATCTTTAGATCTGCGCTACGGGAAGGCCCTACCAAAGGTTAGCGTGGAATTAGATTTGAACGGAATCTGCACGACACTTGAACTTGCCACGATAGCAAATGGCTACGCCAGCTTAGCCATTTCTTTGTTTTGTTTAGTAATCTCGACCTCACTACAGTCCCCTCCATCGATTCCCCTCCAGCTCCACTTTTTCTTTTATTTACTTTTTGTATAACCTGTTAATCAAGGATAATGTTTGGAGTAAGCCATTGAAAAGCCTGAAATTCAAGAGTGAAAAAGAAATTCCAGATTTAACCACGTTCCCACTACCTGGAGAAGGAGTGAGAATAAGGTCCGCTCTCCGGTGGGATACTCCATGAATCTGATTTCTTTTTCGGGTTCAAGCGTATACAGTTTGGCTAGAAAACGAAATCTGAGGGAATTGTCACCCGAATCACTGCTCCCGTATCAGACTTGACCAAGTAAACCATCTCGGAATGTGGAAAACCTGCTTTGGGCTTCCACAGATTCGCCATCAACCACACCCACCATCATTACAGGTGTTCAGTGCTAGACAGATTAGTGAGTGTCGTTCATATCACATCTTTCCCAACACTGACCCATCAATCCTAATGGGCTTTAGATAGTGGCTCTGAAACGGGAAATTTTGGGAGGAAAAAATCGGCTCGGATTCAGCGGTCATTTAAATCTTCATTTTTCCGGTTTCAACTTCGGAGGAAAGTCAATTACAAAAATCACTTGCTTTAAGCATATGTGATTGTTAAAAATTCCACATAAAAATTGTGCAAGAAAGCTCCTTGAAGACAAGCCTCAGTACTGCATTTTACTCAATGCATAGGTTCAAACCGCATCGGAACCTTGCCTTCTCTTAGGATTTCATATTACGTGGTGACAGTTGAACAGAAATCTGAAAATTCTTCTCCCGCAACCTTCCTCAGCGTCAAAATATCCAAAAACCTAGTAAAATTGCAATGTTTCGGTCATACTTTGGTCCCAGAGATGGCTCCAACCCACACCTGCCGCTTACTTTTCACATTCAACGGCTCTCAAATATGAATGGAGGTGCCTACATGGCGCAATCCTTCAATTTCAGTGAGATAGATGTCCCTGATTAATTATGTAACGGAAATCGCGCAGATCGCTGACCATAGCCTTCAGTTCAAATTAATGGTCTGTCGAGCGCTGATGTAGTCAGTCTTGTAACGAACCGTTTCGATCTTTGTCGCTCAGTTTGATCGATGACAAGCGGGTAACTGGTTCCCAAAGTGGTGTAACCTCGAAATTGTCAATCGCTTCTGAGTAAGGTCAGTGGAACTCAGACGATCNAAATATCCGAAAACCTATTAAGATTGCTATGTTTCGGTCATACTTCGGTCCCAGAGAGGGCACCAACCCACACCTGCTCGCTTACTTTTCACATTCAACGGCTCTCAAATATAAATGGAGGTGCCTACATGGTTCAATCCTTCATTTTCTATGAGATAGATGTCCCTGATTAATTATGTAACGGAAATCGCGCAGATCGCTGACCATAGCCTTCAGTTCAAATTAATGGTCTGTCGAGCGCTGATGTAGTCAGTCTTGTAACGAACCGTTTCGATCTTTGTCGCTCAGTTTGATCGATGACAAGCGGGTAACTGGTTTCAAAGTGATGTGACCTCGAAATTTTCAATCGCTCCTGAGTAAGGTCAGTGGAATTCAGATGATCCCTCATTACCCTTCTGAGTGAACTGGTCTAGTAGAGTCAGAAGGTTCAGTCCCTTCCTGTCAATCCAGGACGGAATCCCGGAATTCCAAGTAGGAATGGAACCCCGATTTCACTAGTGCGTATATGTACTCCATTCCGAACAAAGGAGCGATTTTTCGTCTAAAATGAATAAATCGTGTGGACTATGGGTAAAGTAACTTGAATGTAGACATGAACTATGCATATAGTTGAATCCCCAGCACATTGAACCATAGATCGTCCTCAATCACTAAAATGACCGTCCCTATTGGTAGTTTCCCTAGCGGGCACCCAAAGCAAAGCGGACTTCTATACCCATTACCTAACCGGAACACAAAGTAACAAGGTCTGCTGTCCTGCTGTGGCGGGTGACTTTTGAACTTGATTTCTCCGGTGAACACCGCGCGCAGTCGCCGCAGCGATGTTAATCCTACGCCAGACCTTCTGACGACTCCTGCACTAGTAATTTAGCGTGGTTACCGTATCCAAACTGCTTACCTAGTTACTCACTCAGGCTCATTCATCGCTTAGTTAACTAGTAAGCGATGAATGAGCTTGAGTTCCAGGTTCATCAGGTAACTTTCATTACCACTCAAAAACCTTTGTAATGGAATAGGTACGGCGTATTTCAGGGAAACATTGTTCGGCCCCAAATCTTGATGTTTGGCCTCAAACCTTGATATTTGAGGAGTGAGATGGGTGGAGGTAAAGGGCATAAGACTAGGGCGACACTTAACACATTGAGTTGAATAAACTAAGGCAGTAGTTTAACAGTAAGACACAGGTGAGACGACTAACTAAGAAATGTCGCCGCACTGAGTATCTACGCTTAAGATGAGAGAGATGTCTAGCCGTGGGTACTTACTTGATAGGCGATGGGAGAAGGAAGTGGACAATACATGACTGCAGCACAAATAAGTAGAAGGTAACTCAAAATTACTACAAGGAGCACTTTACCCACGCAGGATAGGTTGAGTTCTCTTATTCTCCAAGAGTGTCCTTCTTCACCTTCCCTTCCCCTTAGTCAGCCCATTAAAGGCACTTTAAATGAGATTATATTTTATTCATTACGCCCTAAACACGGCTGCCCGGTATCGTGGCTCTGACCAAAATATTTGTTCCGACTGACCGCCACCTGCATGCTCTGGTCAAACAATACTGAGTAGGTAATGGATACTCGATGGGTAACGGAATACACACAACGGCACGAAGCGTTCGGTTTGACTTGCACTGGAGAGAATCTTAACGGATATCCATGAATTATGAACGACTTGACCAAGGTTGATCCAGATTCGCTTGTCTTGGCCTAGCCACCCTTTGAGGTTTGGAATATGGTAACGTGAGACATGGGAGAATACTCGAAAAGTTTAGGTGAACGGTGAAAAGTTGGAAAAGTACAAAATGTATTTGTCTGGAACTTCGTATTTCACTCCAGCAGCACTCCATCCTTCTGGGCGATTTAGTGGAGCTCTGACATCCAACTCAACTACCTCACAGGTCGGTAGTTCTCATTACCAAGGTGAAACTGGACTAGACGTCTTTCTCAACTAATCGGATCCCTGGGCATTCGCCTATGCACCGCAGCGAAACGGTGGCTGAACGAGAAGCCGTTGTCGGTCATATTTAACGGCTGCATGAATAGGAGGGCAAAAAGGTGACGAGGAGGTATTTTGACGGTGGTTTTTCAGCTGGCAACCATGATGAATTGCTGGTTTTTCAGGAAAAGTCCCTTTGTCGGGAATCGATCACAAGTTCCAAAAAGTCCGCCTTCGTGAGCCTTGGGAAGGACACAAAAAGTTCTATCCAGTTGCACATTTGAATAGCTGCAGCAAACATGCTCGAGTTTCGATACAGGACGAAGGGTGAAGTTTCTGACGTAGAACAACCCTTTTTCGAGAATGCGCCACGCAGTCGACTACAATTCAGAATCACAGTGGCGATTTGAATGCGTATACATCCTATGCAATAAATTGCGGTGCCCAGCCAAAGAATAAGCCAGTGCTTCTCTCCTCTCAGACGAGCCTTGTACCAACTAACTGATCCCGGAGGGATGGAAGGCTTGGTTGGCCACACGTATATCATTTCGGGATTCGAACCCATGACTATGTGCGTGTGACAATGCGCCACTTGCCACTACAGCACCTCCGCCCGGATTTTCAATAATACACTGTTTTGACTGAATTCTAATAATAAATAGTAATTATAGCAATTCTGCCTATACGCCTGTTGCCGCATCTGCATCCAATTATGGACAAACAAATAAATAAATAAACTAATTCAATAGTAGATACTGTATCAAAAAATATGCCGTTTCAATAAGTATTAATATCCAACAACCGAATTCTAAAGGGGTTTCATGCACAGCTTATCATAAACAAACAAAAGTAAACAAATAATAAATAATGCCGATAAAAAGTGGGCTACTAAATGAATGATTCACAAAATTGGATTACTCAGTGCGCGAGACAATTAATTGCAGTACTTCCCCTGATCTTTTGAGCTTTTCCAAAAAAGGCTCTGAGCCAGTGTGAGCAAGTCAGCAGATCGCTGATGCCCACTACGAGAAAAAAGTGAAGGGATGCTGGAAGTACTTACCGTATACACTGAGCAGAGCAGGATCTGTTGATCGTCGATTTGCAATATTTACTGCTTCACAGGTGTAGTTGCCGGAATCGCTAAGTCTGGCTGCTGAGATGATTAAACTGCCGTCATTACCGTAAATTACATTTGAATCGGCCGATTTCTCCAGTTCAACACCATCTTTGATCCAGGTTAACTGAAATATGGAAGCTGATCAGTAGTAGCCTTGGTACTGGTTGAGTCACACTCTTGAAGCTCTTGGTTCTGGCATGCCCAGAATGGCCAGAAACTCTTGGTCCGTCAACGTAGGAGCGTGGACCTTGTGAACGGCAGTAGCCCACTTGATTATGAGGGCCAGCAAAAAATGGCAGAAGTTTCCGGCAGCAAACCATGACTATTTCCGCCTATTTTCTCAGTCCAGCTTCTCTCATCAGACCCACAGGCGGGTGGGTTCCCTTCAACCTAAGAGCTCCTCATAATTTGTTGGTAAGACCCTTTATCTCTCCCCGTCTCTCCCCTCGGCAACTTATAACCAGTTAAGCTCAACGAGTAGATGGCGATGGCCCGATTATCAGCGTGTTCGATCGAACAGCCGCTGCCGGAGCTAACAGAAGAGGTTTTTGCCCAGCCAGTTAGCCTTATCGTCGACCATCATCAGCCCAATCAACTGACTAATGACATTAATATGTGTAGACACATGGCCTTCATATGGTTAACTAATACAAACTTCCGCTTCAGGTCGAACCAGTTACTATGAGGTCACCCAGAAAGGCTTACCTGAGCTTTTGGATCACTTTCTGGTGCCACACAATGCAATTGAACGGTTGAGCCTTCGGGAACTCGATCTGATGTCGGTGCTTGTACGAAATGCTTTCGCATAACTGAAAATATTCCGAATTTGAAATGGTAGAAGAACTAGTAGGCTTGGCTTCCAGGAATGAGCCGCGCATCTCTACAACCTTCACAATTTCTACAGCTCCTTGTTCATCTAAATACTATTTATTTATCCAGTTATTTAGATGCAGTATGGAGGCGGATGCTGCTGATTTTTGATTTTATTGACACTATTTTTTCAGTGCCTGACTATTGATTACTTTTTTCACGAGTTCTCAGGTAATAAACAAACAAATAATGAAAACTCCAGAAAATCCACCTCTTGTGCTCATCCGAAAGGTACCAGGCACCCGACACACCGCTTTTGTTAAGCGGTAACAACTTAAGTCCTTGACAATGTGCAGATGGTACACTGGAGGAACCGAACAATCGAGTGGGTACATACGAAACAGAGATTTCGTACACTGCGCTACCGGATTTTTCTCTAATTTTCGAATGTAGTCGAAATTCGCAACCCATTGCTCACTACCCTTGTTCCTAGTCGAAATTAACCTGACTTTCGTACTGCTTTCTAAGGGTCCAAGTCAACAGACATCAATTTCCTCCAGGAAATCGAGGCTGGAATTACCTTCACTTCCGATCTGACTAGTGAGTAAGTGAGAGCGTAATTAGATTAGTCGGCATCAATGGAATCTTCACTTATGTATGTGCAAACAATAGATATCGATTACTACTGAGTAATATATCCCTTTACAGGTAATATGTAGGATACACCCCCTGAAATCCTTGGGAAATCACTCAGAATTCCAAAATTCCTCAAAAAACCTAACTATTTTCGAATAAAAAAATTTTTCTTAAAAGTAATCGGATTTTATATTGTTCCAGAACTTAATCTTGTAAGAGCGAAGGCTCAGCAAATCTCCTTAGTGGCCACATGACTTCCTCCAAAGCTCGAATCGAATGACTAAGCCTTTGCAAAAATCCTATCAGCTGACATTTCTCCCATTGGCTCCAATTTCACTGACCCCTGACCCGCTCTGAACATCGTCCAGCTGACTGCAACCGTATACAAAGGAGCTGGACGTGGTGGTGGCTGAAGAGAGCGGGGGAACACTTGAGCGGCATCAATGCGTGCAATCATCGTCTCTATGCCGTTCAACATGGCACAAAATCAACTTATTGCGCATTAGTGCAGTCGCTCGTTGGCCAGCAAACAATCGGGCAGGCAGTGCATGGGCAGTAGTTGGGAGTTCGTTGAAAGCCGAGTTCTCGGACCTCATTTAGTCAGTCACTTGGTGGCTCATCAGTGCTCATCACTGGCAAGCAACAGAGCGGATTCCGATGAGGCAGTGGAGACAAGAGAAGAACCGACAGGATTTAATTCTATTCAGAAGCTAAGATTCCCGATTGAAGAGGAGAAAAGGAAGGAAGGCTTAGAAAGCGGTTCAAACAGAAGAGACATGGAGGAGCGCGGACGGGTGGATTGCCATTGAACGTAGTACCTTCTAACTAAAAGACCATTCGGTAAAGTGTTTATCGCTGGCCACTTCACCCCAAACAAACTCTTCAGGAGTTGGGTTCCCATTGTCTGGACCTGGTGAGTAAACTCAATAGAAAAGTTCCCCTTAGACTCCAAAATTCGAGCGATTGGGCGGTTTACCTTAACGGCACAGGTGCGCGCAGTGTTTCCCTCACAGGTGTCCGACCCATCTGTCAACGGATAGAAACAACTCTGACACCCATACAGTGTAAAGCCAGTAACGGAAAGCTTAGCCGCACACCGTTTAAGCTACAGAGCTCAACTAGCGGAACAAAGTAGGAAGGACCAGGACCTTCTGGGTCACTTTCGAAATTTTCGGGACTTTATAGCACTAGAGCAAGGTCAACAGGAGGTAATCGCAAAGATTACCGCCAAAAAGAGTTCTGGTGCAGTAGGTGCTCGACTTCAGAATAGTCCCTTTCTAGCTGCTCACAACGACTTTCTTTGACTTGACGAGAACCCTCGCCAATTAGCTGCCCTGGTCAAAAAAGAACCCGATCTTGTATTAGCCTTCTAAGATGCCCCCTGATGATTTTCCAGGTGTCGTTCGTGCCTGATCAACACTGAAATTTGATACGTTGTTTAGGACGACGTCACGCCCAAATCCTAGTCGCTTCAGCGCCCTAACCCTCTAAGCAATCAGTAGATGGCACGGAAAGGTACACCAATGCCTACGACGACCATCACCCACCTAAGCCCTGATCTTCTGTCGGCCAACGTGAGATGGTCAACTTTCTGGATTCGTGTAACCTGAGTAGCCGACACTGGCGCCTCTGCAAAGTCAAAGACCATGAGCTGAGCCGACGGATAGTCCAGTCCTCTTCAGAGATGGTCTGGTCTTTCTATAGACGGCTAAGTGGCTCTGCGGGGA